TTGTCAAATGATAACGATCGTGATAGTGACGACGACAGCGATAATAATGTCACTCACAACGATCACAGTACCGACAATATTGATAATACGGTTAATAGTGATGATATTACTCGTCATCAACGAATTTACGCACAGCAATACACTGAACAGTCAGCTTGTGCCAGTACTAGCAATGGTACTGACTGTGATGGCAATAATATTAGCCACATCAGTGACGAAGCTTGTTCGAATGCGAGCGATGAGACAAATGATATTGATGAACAACACAGCAGTACAGCCGACTTTCTGATGGCTAAGTGTGAACGGCGAATCTCGTCTGAATCGACTTCGGCTGCTACTTCCACTTCTATTCTGAATTCACGTTCTGAACCCGCAAATTCGAGCGCTGATTCTGTCAAGAGTTCGTCGTCGGCAAGTACTAATTCCAGTGCGGCCTCATCATCATCGTCTAGCATGGCTGGTTCGGTTGTTGATCCACTACCGAAAAGTTGTCCAGCACCCGGAAATTCACCGGCACTGAAACGTGTTGAATGCAAACTGGAAGGTCGAGAGTTATGGAGTAAATTCTACGAGTTAAGCACTGAGATGATCATCACCAAAAGTGGACGGTAAGTGTGAAAATATTCATGTTCATTTCATTGTATTGCTTCTTCACCAACACTGTGTTGATTTGATGCTTGATCTGCTTTTGAAGCTTAACGGAGTATATCATATATTCCATTTTTATTACCCTTCTTGGACAGATTGCGTTGGCGCTATGTCGTTTAAACTTAATAACATTATATTCGTCACTTTCTAATAGCCACACTCATCTGGGATCATGACGACCAAATTTCCTCGTATTTTCTCAATGAAATCAAACTCCCTTCTACATTTTCTTTAAAATATTCTCTGTATGCATACGGGCTGAAAAATTTAAACGTTTGCTTGCAACTGATTGTGAATCCATCCATCATCTTTTAACTGAAGTCGTCTGTCTATGGCCATAAAAGCTATCAACATTATCTTGGGTAGGCGACAATTTACAAGATTGCTTTTCACATTATTGCTCTCATCAACGTCATCATCATCATCAATAAGCACAAGTCGAAACGAAAGCTCAAGCAATCGTCTCTTCTTAAGCAGTCTCAGTTCATTCGCTCACTTATTCTTCGCAATATCGATAATGATTCGACGATGCACACACACACATATGAAGCAAACAATAAAACCAAACGACACAATGTTTTAGTTGGCTGTTTACCGTACATAGAGCAGAATCATAGAGAACGTTACATATCAACGGTTCGTGAAGGGAAAGTGTGTTGAATGTGAACGAACATCATTAGATAATCATCGTTAATGTTTTCTTGATGGTGTAAATGTGCTATACACGAGTGAATGAATGTCCGGCTGTCCTTTCAACAAAATTACTTCTCATTTAACTAATCACCAAATCCACTTGAAATGCTTACGTTCACCATTCATACAGCTACTGATTGCTATGTGAAAACGAATGTCATTCTCGTGGAATCCATTTAAAGAGATGAAATTAAATAGAGACTTTACTCCAGCTCCTGGGGAGATTTTTCGTTTTTGGGACTCATTTGAGCGTTGTAATCTCAATTTTCGAAAGGCTAAACTATCTTATTCTACGATCAATACGGAGGACATCCTCAGGAGATAGCAATTTCTGATCAACGTTAGACATTGATCCTTCAATTTGTTTCTGCTGATCTACAGGTTTTTATGCGAACTGCGAGTTTACGAGGTGTACTAATCGAATAATTAATAACTGCTAAATG